ACCACACATTGCTGAAACTTTATGCACTGTGGAATTCACTATTGCAAAAATCTCCGGTCAAGTCTCCCGCTTGTCTTCCTCGACTTACCCAGGACCTGATGGAATTCCCCCTTGTTGGTTAAAAAGCGGTGGGAGCGACTTGCCTCTTCTATTGCTCAACATTTTTACGCTCTCTTTTAACAGTGCAGTATATCCTAAGCACTGGAAGACTTCCGTTGTTATCCCGCGTCATAAGAATGGAAACGTTCACGAAATTAAAAAATATCGCCCCATCAACCACACACCTGTAATATCTAGAATTATGGGAAGGATAGCGAAAGATGAATTACTTATTTTCTTGAATAAGAAAAACGTCATCAACAATTCACAACACGGTTTTTTGCAGGGCAGTTCTTGTCTGACATGCCAGACAGACTTCTTAAACCACACAACGGCTGCCATAGACAAAGGCAACAGTGTTATTGTCCTGTTCTTAGACATGCAAAAAGCATTCGACAGAGTGCCGCTTCGAAGGCTACTCCTCAAGCTGAAGGAAATAGTTATTGGAGAACCAATGTTTTCTTGGTTGTCATCATACCTAGCTGACAGACATCAGGTGTTGCGTGTTGGAGACCGTGTCTCTAAAACGAAAGCAGTCACCAGTGGAGTAATTCAGGGAAGTGTACTTGGTCCACTTCTTTTTCTCCTCTACGTCAATGATGTAGTTCATAGAATAAGACATGGTGCTACTTTTCTGTTTGCTGATGACATTAAAATCGTCTACTCACAAGAACGTGCAGATACCCGCGCAGCCTTGTGCCACATTCAGGAAGATCTATCGGCTCTTGAATCCTGGAACAAACTGTAGCAGATGTCCTTTTCCGTGGACAAGTGTAATATTCTGTCGTACAAATGCGAAGTTTCACCAGACAGTCTATTATTACAAGGCACGTTTATATCACAGTGCAAAGTGATTCGCGACTTGGGTGTGCGGTATTCCACTACAACTTTTCGGAACAATGTGACTTCCAAGTTTCGAAAGCCATGAAGACTATTGGCTATATCTGTTATAAATTTCAACTCACAGAATCTCGTATGTGGCTTTATAAAACATATGTGTTACCTGGCATGGAATACTGCTCACTGCTACAGTCGAATCTGCGGAAATCTGACCAGCATGCTCTTGTAAGGGTACAGCGACGCTTTACAAAGAAGCTGTGCGGATATTCTTCCAAGATGACCTACAGAGAGCGCAGTGAAAAACTTGGACTTGACCCACTTTGGCTACGGATAATAAAGATGAACTTGTATTTACTGTACAGAATAATTCACCATCACATGCACAATTATGCTAACTGTGTCCATATGGCAGTTAACACTAGATACGAGCTACGAAATAAGGAGACAACGGTCATAATTCCAAAGTTCAATACGCGAATCAGGGAGCGTTTCTTCTTAATACACTACTCAAAGCTTTGGAACAAACTTCCAGGAGCTATCAGAACTTGTTGCACAGTGCGTTTTTTAAGCTTTCGATAAAAGATTATTTAACCGTTCAAAATGTGATAATAATGTTTCGAACAGCACAGTCCTTAGATAACGCTTTTGAGAACGGAGTTAATGGTGCCTGAAAATGCATGTGGTCAAGTGCCCAAGTGGTTATATTTTGTTGGCCCGCAGCACTTTATTCTCTTTTTTTTCGTGTGCGATCAACTCTCATGTGACTGCTAAAAACTTGTCAGACGATAGAACAAGAGGAAGGTAAATAATTTGGACCGCTTCGCACTACACAAAATTTCATTTTGTGCTCAAATTTTTTAAAAATTTATTATACCAAGATATGAAACTGCTGTACCATTATTTGATCCGTCCCTTCTGGGAAAGGCTTCTCGCATCGTCGAGCCATATACAATTTGTTTATTTATTTATTTATTTAATTTCCCGACTACAATTGCTCTAAAATTTGAGTACCTGGAGTCGTTTTATCTAACTCAAAATCATTTTGAGAGCTGTCGATTTGCATAACCCAGTATACAAACTCAAGGATAATCCGTCGATTTCACGCCGCTCATTTATGAAGATTCGTATCGTACTATATTTATTTCTCTCTTTTCCCAATGTTGTCCACCACTGTGATGATCTCCTGAGGTGAAGGAGTGAAGCTTCCCAAGCAATCTTTGCAACAACATGAGGCAAATTACCACAGACTTAATGAGCAGTAGAATATGGCAAAATGGCATTAACCTACTTGTGATTAACAAAATAGGCGGATTCGAAATAGTTGAAATTTGAAACTGGCTTGTTGGCTATAAGAGCGAAAAGAGGGAACAGCTTATTTTTACCGAGTGCCTAATTATCATTATGCATGACAACG